CGCGGCCCCTCTTCTGTCTCTTCTCCGGGGCTTTCTCCGGACCCTTCTGAGGAGCCGTCTTCGTGGGGACGACCGGCAGGGGAAGGGCGGCTTCGAGAGCAGGGGCCCCGGAACCCTGAGCCAGCACAGTGGCAATCAGATGCTGCTCACCCTCGGCAGTTCGCCGGGCAGCGTCAGAAGCCGAGGAGTTGGACGCCGAGGCGGGGGCATTCTTGGCCTTCTCCATCGCAGCTTTAGCGGCGGCCGCTTTGGCCTTCCTGGTCTTCAGGCACTCGGCGTGATTCATTTGATCCCTGTCTGGCGGAGGACCTGCAAAAAATAAACAAAGGATTAGAAGACGAGCGGGGAATAGAATAAGACACTCACCTCGAAGGACAGGACCGCCCGGTGCCCCGAGACGAGCGTCGAAGGGTAGAAAAGGTCCAGGGACACGGGCGGTACCTATGCCTGCCCCAGAGAGTGCCTCGAAGGTCAGGAATCCGGCTATAGGACGGACGCCACCCTCCAACACCTTCTCCGCATCCAGAAGCAGATCGTCGGACGGCTCCGATGACTCGATCTTTGGGGGGTACCCATTCCACCGGAGAGGGAGAGGAGGCCCGTCGTATCGAAGGAAGAAAAAACGGTTCTTCCAGTCGTGGATGGACGAAGGGTAGTTCTTGAACAGCCGCCTCCCAGGACGTGCGGCCACGCTCAGATACCCGTCGGAGTGGCATCGACCCCCGCAAGTTGGCAGCGCACCAAGAAGGCCGATATGAATCTGTAAGAATTTGGCATGAATTGCGCCGGGGCCACCTGGAAGCAGTGGAAGAACTCCACATAGAACGCATGAAGTGGAAACCTCAGCCCGGCTTCAACGGAGTCCAGGTGAAGCATGATCATCCCCGGACGTCTCCTCATCACATGCTCAGCACCTCTCACACTCCAGACGAACGGCGGGGGAAGGAAGGTACGGATTTTATTGAGGGCCACGCGGGAAAGGACTTGGTCATGGTCAAGTGCACTCCTGATCGGGCAGATGTGGCGCTCCCTATCCGTGGGGATGCCCAGATCATACACCTCCACATCAGAACCAGATTCGGCTTCCTCTCCGGAATCATAATCAGCAGGACGCTCATTCAGGGGGACTGCGTCAACAACATCTACTGCCCCGTCAGCGCCCCCGCCCCCGGCGTCGCTCCCGCTATCTTGGGACACATCATCCGGCTCGCCATCAGCCCGGATGGTCCCCACAGTCGTGGCCGAACCCGAGGTTCCGGAAACACTAGTTTTTCCCGGGGAGCGTGCATTCGCATTGTCAGAAGAGGAGCCCGAGGAGGAACCCGACGAACTGGAATCGGAACTTGAGGAAATCTCCATCGAAGTCATTTCGGCTAGAAATCAGAATAAAGAAAAGAAGCAGAGGGGGGAAATTACCTTACAAAGGTATGGTTGGCCGAATTTGGGAAACTTGAAGAGCTGCGGAAAATCGAGAGCAAGAAAGCAGGAATTGGGAACCCTAATTCAGAGGGAAAACCTAGCATTTATAGGAGAAGCACCGATGAAGAAACCAACGAGGGGCTGACACGTGGCAAGGAGCGTATTCCGGCCCACGCGCTGTGCGTGGGATGGGAACGTAATGATGACACTTCCTCGGGAAAACGCGCCGCCGCAACATCAGCCGTCACCTCGTTTCCTGAACCGTCAAACAGCTGTCAAGCATCATGACCACGAACGAACGCTTCCACCAGGTGCAATAAGCACAAGTACCAAGATACGGACGTCTACTTCGGGGAGGTTCATACTTCCTTATGTCCTGCGCATGCTCAGAACATCAGAAGTGGGGGACTTGTGTTGGGTTAAGGGCCCAAGCCGAGGTCCGGCCCACTAACCCATTTCGCCAGACGAACGTCCAGTTAGATCACTAGGCCAGCACACAGGCCCATGTTCCTTGAGGATGGACGAACGTCTGGTGTTGGGGGACTCAGGCCCAGCAGCTCATCCCGACGAACGTCTGTGCAGGGATAAGGAGCAGAACCACGGGCCACCAGGGACGGCGACGAACGTCCCCATAGCAAGCCTGTAGTCATCGGAGAAAACCCAGTCCACATGGTGAGTATCTGTCAAGGCCAGGAGACGAACAGCCGATATCTCCCAAGGGTCCCTTGGAGCAATCCAACTCACTTCCCGATGGACGAACGTCCCCACTGATCCGGCGGGAAACCTAGATTCTGGCGGGAAGTGCATTTAATGCTAAAGATTTGGTAGTTGGGACACCAACGGTCCACAGGCTGCCACGTCACTACAGCCACCTGCCCATTGGCGGGTATAAATAGAAGCATTTATTCCATTGTAAAGGGTTGGCAACTTTCTATTCTTAGCATACTAGCTTGAGCATTCTTATTCGCAGCATCTCTAACTGCCTGTAAGACGAACGGCCGACGTGCCTTGTTTAGCAAGTAGATTGTACTTAGGGGAGTTATTACGGAGTTAATAATACCTATTTACATTGCCTGCTATTATTATTGTTTCCTGATTCATCTCATAGTTGTTGGGCTAGACATCCATACATTTCACTCCACTCGAAACCTTTGGGCTTACGTGTTGGGTCCACGGGTTGAAGGAATAAACCTCAACAATTTCCCATAAATCTATATTCCCCATAATAAACCATTGATCCCTTCTTCATTCGGTTGTTACTTGTTAGTTCTTTTTATTTAAACCAATCTCGCATAATTGGTTTTACATCTTCTAATTGAACTAATAAATATTTAATCTGCTTTTCCCATCAATGTGGAGAAGACACTCATACAGTCCTCAATAAACTGTCGGTCATACTTCTACACTATATTATTACATACTCTTCCATCCCTTATAACTTTGCAACTTTCTTTTTTTGGATGTCCCACTGGCTTTGTCATTTTCTCTTTTAAGTAAAGAATTTGTGGTTCCAGTTAATTCTCTCTCCTCTGCACAAACCTCAACCACACAGTTTTTACTTTATTAATCTCTGTGCCGGTCAAACTTGGCAAAGTATTGAGGGACGGAGGGAGGGAGTATATTTTAAATATAAGAAAACACAAATGAAAGAGCAATTTGAATGAAAAAAGCTTTATTTTATGAAGAATGATTGAGTTTATGGGCCCGTTTGGTGACACCTTCTTTCGGCTTATCGGGCTTATCAGCCAGCCAGCTTTTTCACCAAACACGTAATTTTTTATTTCCTGCGTTGAATTTGGTAATAAGCAGAAAAAGTAAGGTTGAAGTTACTTTCCGGCTGTATTAGCAGAAGTTACTGTAGAAGATCATTTTAACTATTTTTCATATAATTTTTTATTTAATTTATTAATAAAAAATATGTTAAATATAATTTTTTCATGAATCAACAGAATCAGCCAATACAGCCGCTTCAGCCAAAACTTCGTAAATTTGAGCGGAATCAGCGCAATCAACCAATTTTAATGTTATGGCACGGGCTCTATACGAGTATTAGAAAAGGACGAGAGAATACGAATAGTAATCTTAGTGAGATTCTCACTCCAAATCAAATAATGGTCCGCAAATTTTAAGGACACGTTCCTGTCCTTGTCTGGTGGAGAAGGTGATGTTCACATTGAATCTTTAAGGGACCCAATCTTTAATTATGGAGAAATACCGGGCATAACTCACCTAGTAGGAAGGGAGTATCACAAGAGAGATGTCTCAGTTCAACTCCAAGCAATGATTTGGGATAAGCCTCACTTTCTTTTCATTAGAGTGAGATCAAAACTCAATTTACATCCTCCCAGTTAACTGTCCGGTCGGTGTTGGGGGCTCTCAGGGATGGGATGTGATCTTTTTATTTTTAATTACAGAGTTATAAAAGAAAAGAATTTCAACTCCAAGCACATCAAAACATGAAAAGCGAACTTTAAATTAGATGTATATTATGACATTGTTCACTTCATATTAAAGTTTCTCAATTAATGCAAACTTATTATAGTCGAAACGTCTTTCAATCAAGCAAACATAAGTTATACTCCTCTTCTCCCGAAAATGTTCGCTAAATTGACTTTTCTTTTCTTGTCAACGATAATCAACTTTGACCAAAGATAATCCTTCTAATAAAGAAAAAGAAGGAAATTATACGGAAAAATTGGGAAAAATTGGGAAAACGTAAAGAATGATTAGTGCCATTTTAAGAAAATCAAACTTTTGATCATATTTTTGAAAGAATGTTATTGTATGTTTTAGTCCAAGAACAATTTTCTCAAGAATTAGTAGAGGAAGAAATGTGACAACAAAGGAGGGTGATTTAATTAACAACTTCACCCATCACACAATTCTTCTAAGTTTGGTAAGCATAAGTTTCTACATTTTAGTTTTTTTACATTTTAAAAAGGAGTAAAGGATTTGATACTCGAAGTTGCATAAAAAGGGTCAAATAAGTCCTTACTGTCTGGCCGTCGACATTTGGGGCAGTTCCCGATGGAATTTTTTGATAAATTTTTTTGAGCATCTTATTCATTAAGTCTAGTTTACTCATACCAAATTTCAGGTAAAACTTTAATCGGGAAGATATTCAAATGAATTCTTGAAGATAACTGCGCTTTTAACTGCACAGTTATCTTCAAGAATTCATTTGAATGCCTTCACGATTGAAATTTTAGGTGAAATTTGGTATGAGTAAACTAGACTTAATGAATAAGATGTTCAAATAAATTCGTCAAAAAGTTCCCCCAAGAACCGCCGCAAATGGCGGCGGCCGGACAGAGCCTCCTATATAAGAACTTAATTGACCCCTTTTATGCAACTTCGAGTACCAATCTGACCATTTACTCGTTTTAAAAAGTGTCTAAAAACTTCTAGTTCATGTTTGTCATGATAATTTGTAAGTTTTTTAATAAAAGATCTATTTTAAGACACTACACTGAGTAGCATTTGAGAAAAGTTCGTTTGTAGCTTTTAGTACTAATTAGCCTCAACAGCTTGCATATCAAACAAAACGGTCAACTTTTTATCACACAACTACCATATTTTTCTTTTAAAATCTTTTTAGTCACTATTTTTTTTAATTATTCAACAACACACTCAACCACAGACAATTAATCCGTGATTCATGCCGGAACTGAATTAAAGGGTAAATAATGTGCACAGTCATCGATGATTTTGCCCCTACACAATACTGTGAGAAGTCAAGCAATATACGAAGTTCTGTTCAATGTACGAAATTATGTTCCCGTCCGTTGAAATTCCTATATGAATATGCCAAATTCTGCACGCCAATCGTTCGACGAAATAACCCAAAGTGATCCAATGTTTGTCTTGAGATATTTTTAGTTTTGGAATTATGGGGGTTGTAGTTAGATCTTGATACTGATTAAATAATGAGGCCTTGGTTATACCCAAAAGTTTAGCTTGAGAAGATGATGAACCTTGGGAGTGGTAGAAAACCTGTCGAGGATTTGAATGAGTATGAACGGTACCAAGCCCATCAACACCACCATAATAAAGCTCATAACTTTCGTTTTGAAGCTGTTTTGCTTGTTCTCATATTTTCAGTTGTTAGCCTTTCATCTCTAGTGCTTTACAATTGGGCAGGCTATATAGGCATATCTCCAAATCCACTAGGCCGTAAACATTTCCCGAATGAGGCTTCTTCCTCAGAAGCCCCAGCTGCCATTCCTGTTGATGCATCCCAAACCACCAAGGAAGGAGAAGATGAGTTGGAGAAAATGCTGAAAAAGGCAGCTTCTATTGATAGAACTGTTATCATCACAACTTTAAATGCAGCATGGACATCTCCAAACTCTGTTTTTGATCTTTTTCTGGAGAGCTTTAGAATCGGGAACCAAACGCTCCATCTTTTGGATCATCTACTTGTGGTGGCTTTCGATCAGACGGCCTATTCTCGCTGTATGGAAGTACATTCGTATTGCTATGCTCTACACACGAATGGCGCTAACTTTACCGGTGAAGCACAGTTTATGAGCTCCAAGTATTTGGAGATGATGTGGGCAAGGATTGACTTTCTTAGACATGTTTTGGAGAAGGGATACAACTTCGTGTTTACGGACACCGACATAATGTGGCTTCGAAATCCATTTTCACATTTTCACCCTCACTCCGAATTCCAAATCGCATGTGACGTTTTCAATTCCAACTCATCGGACCTAAACAACAAGCCCAATGGAGGCTTCAATTACGTTAAATCGAGTAGGAGGACAGTGCAGTTCTACAAATTCTGGTACAGTTCAAAAGATCTTTACCCAGGCAGTCATGACCAAGACGTGCTCAACAACATAAAGTTTCATCCCTTCATTGCAGAGCTCGGCCTCCAGCTTACCTTCTTGCCGACGGTGTTTTACAGCGGTTTTTGTCAGCTCAGCGATGACCTCAACCTTGTCATTACTGTCCATGCCAACTGTTGCGTCGGGCTGGAAAAAAAGATCCGCGACCTCGGGCTTGTGCTCGATGTCTGGAGAGAGTATATATCTGATGTCAAGAGGAGGGTGTCACGCCCGCTTTCGTGGGGACTATTACCACAATACTGCTGGGAGAGAAACATTTCCCCTGCTCCTATGTAGTAGGAAGGTAAAGAGCATACATGTAATGATCATAGAATATACAGCAATTAGTAAGTTTTGTATTGCTAGAAATTTGTAGAAGCTTAAATATATGCCAGTATATGTATGGGAGTCGTTTCAAAAAAACATTAAAATGTTTGTTTTAAGAAATTTAGGTAGAAAAGTACCTAAAATCATCATTTTTCTTTATTAACCAATTCACTGTATGAGATTGTGTGGAACTTGAGTCGGACGCAATACAGGTTGTTTAAGGCATTTAAACCGGAGCACAAAACCCGCAATTTGGGCTTCTGGTTGAAGATATTAGAACTATGCTAGCATCTTTTTGCAAATATTTCATTTGTTTATGTTATGTGGGTATGCAACCGTCATTTTCATGTCTTAGTAAACCAGTTTCCTTGATTGATCATTCCCGAATGAAATATCTCATCATCTTTCCTATAACTGATGCACTGGGGAATGGTTTAATTAATGCATCTCGTAATTTTCTCAAAAATGTTTCATACAGCTCAAGTACTACTGGGCATCATAATTCATAAGATGAACTTTATTGATAACAACACATATTGTTCAATAAATGCCTCAAACTCAGTCAATCAATATGTGTCATCAAAATATATTGGGAAATTACCATATCTAAAAAAGTGAAATTTCTATTTTACCGTTTGAAAATTTATTACTCCGTACATCACATTCCCCTCATGCCCATTACCCTAATGGTGAGAAGTGCTCAGGTCCAGCACCTCCCGGTCAGAACGTCGTCCGAACATGGCCATTTGGGGCACTTCCCGGTGTAATGTTTTGATGATTTTTTTTAGCATGTTTCTCATGAAGTCTAGTTTATCCATACCAAATTTCAGCTCAAAATTCGATCGGGAAGGCATTCAAATCATTTTTGAAGTTGACTGCGTTTTTATACGTATATTTTGGCGCAGTCAACTTCAAAAAATGATTTGATTGTCTGATCGAATTTTGAGTTGAAATTTGATATGGATAAACTAGACTTCAAAAAATTCCACCTTTAAGTGCCCCAAATGACCATGTTCGGACACTGTTCGGACAAAAAAGTGCTGGACAGGATCATTCCTCCCCCAATGCTTTCTCTGTCGCTGTTGTGCTCTGTAAGAGGAGAAGGAAGAAGGTCTACTATATCGTGGAAAGATAAAAGTGAGCTAAGTAAGTTGGAGCTGATGGTTTCAATTCATAGAGTGCGCCGCCTATATCGGGGTACTTTACTTCAAGGAGCCTGACTATATGATTTCATTCATTTGTCAACTCTATAATCTATATCATGCCATCCTCCTATGAAATCTATATTCTATGTAGCGACTATATAAAATCAATGAATTTGCATTTGATAATTTGAAGGCGTTTATCCTCACCATAGAGGACAGGGCGCATGAAATTTGGGGGAAGAAAAAAAGAATCGACCAACCCAACACTCTTGGTGACATTTGTCGCAAATAATCATGTTTATTTGAAAGATTAGAGAAAAGTTACTTCTCTTCTGCTGGCATATTGATATGTATTACTACGTATTTTTATAACAAAGATTTAAGAAAAATAGCTATAGCAGGTGTGAGAAGATCTCATAAGAAAGGGTAAAGATGGAGGGCTGGGTGTTATTAACACAAATATTTTTTGGAATGGCCGTGAGCCTTCACCTGCAAAAGTGAGTGCTTTTTGTATTATAAATGAGTTAATACTGAGTATTTTGTCTTGATTGATCCTAGAAATTGATGTTTTATGGTTATTAAGGATGTTGTAATACAATTTGGGTGAAGCTTAATAGAGCGAGCCTTGTGAAGCTTTTAACATTTTAGTGAAAATTATTCTTCAAGATCATATCTTATGGGTATTGATCTGTTAGTTATTAGCTCATAAATTCGTAATACAAACAAGAGTTCAGGCTTATCGAATTCTAGCGCCTAAAAAAATAAGCTTAGAGTATTCTTTTCTCTTATGTTGGATAATTTAATCCTCTTTTCTGTAGTTTCAATACTTTAAGTAAGATGTTTTAAAACTTCTGATATATGGTGTTAATAAAACAATGTAAATGTTTCTTTAAGAAAACTAACTTTGTGCCATGATTTAACTTAAACAATGCAGCACTTTTTCACTTCTTCTAGGTGTCAAAACATGTATTTAGTTTGGGTTAGTATAATCAAATAAATGGCAACATAAATATCTACTTTTACATATAGTATCAGATTAGCAAAGTTATTCATCACTATCATATCTTTCGAGTATTGATCTGTTAGTTATGTCATAAATTCTAGATAAAAGCAAGAGTTCCAACTAATCGAATTCCAGCGGCTAAAAAGATAAGCTTCAAAAAAATCCTATTGGGGGGTTTGTGGCAGCTGGAGCCTGACCTCGGCTGGGTATTGTTCGGCGAAGGAGGCTAAAGCAATTGGGACACTCTAAGTTGGCTTAAGGAGGGAGGTTGGGACTTTCTTGATATAGAATAAGATGGCTATTGAAAAGGAGGGTGTTTCTTCTCCATTGGGGCTTGTTGTTGATGATATAAGAGATCCGATGAAAGAATTGAGGAGTACTTTGTAATTTTGTCCAACGATCTGTGAAATGTGTCGCTCACGAGCCTGCTGGAGTGGCATTTTCTTTTTCTGATAGCCATAGTTAGTTTAGTTATCAGCCCAGTTGATGTTTTGTTTGTAAAAAATGTTTTCAGTTTCACAAATAGTATTATGCATTATTTGTTTTTAATACTAGCACGTCAAAGGGAAAACGCATAACTTTTTCATCATTATTATCTGTAATTATGAAACTGATACACGTCGTTTTGGTCGTGTGTACCAGAGGGGCATAAAAGGGGCCTAGTTAATTCATTGTCCACAAGCTTTCCTAATTATTTCCCTTTAGTTATTCTAGTTGTTTCCTTTTATTCTGCTTTCCTTATCATAGTTGTTTCCATTTAGTTAGTCTTCCTTATTTTAGGCAGTCTCTTATTAATGAGTATGTAATAGTTTATACTATCGTATATGTTTCCTAATATTATTTAGGAACCTTAATCTCTTGATTTACTGGTGGAGCCAGGAATCACTTTCCTTGCCTAGGGCAGGAAGTTGGGTTTTTTTTATTCCAACATCATAGCTTCAGATCCCGTCTTTGATTATCAACGGCTTTGGACGAGATCATGTACCAGGGGCCTCAAGCCCTCAACAAAGACTTGATAAAATAATGCTTTGAAGTAAGCAAATTGACCACGACTTTGACTGTTACAATGCGCAGAAAGAATGAAAGGGGCAGGCAGAGTAACTAATACACTTTGCCAGTTTGCCATGTAAAAAGAGAAAACTAATAAACCTTAGCAAAAAGAGGATATAGCCCCCAAATGAAAAAAAAATGCGGAAAGAGGAGAACAAATATCTTTTTGGTACTCGAACTTCTTCCCTCTTCTTTTTCTTTTTCTTGAAATTCTCATATTCCAAACCCTTGATAAGGAAGTGAAAGAGTTGGTTTGGCTGAAGTTGTTTTCCAAATTCTTTTTCAGTTTTAACTGGTCAGACACTGTCTCATTCTGGGGAGAGGAAAGGAAAGAGAGAGGGCCTTTGGAAGTGACACCTCGCCTATCTCCATCACATGTACATACTATTTGCTTGATTCTGTTTGCAAATTTCAAATGCTCCATACCTGTCTAGTCTAAATCAGAAAAGTTTAGAATTTCAGCAACTGTCAGTGGATCAAGAATGTATTCTTCCTAAGAATGCTGCATTATTTATTACCAGTAAAGAAGTGATCTTTACTAATCCAAAGCTGCATTATTTATGCATTCTTTATTCCCGGTACCGAATTTCAATGCTGCAATTTTGAACCAAAGCTGAGAGATGATCCTTCATACATAATCTATAGAGAAGTGATCTTTTCTGCTGGAGAATCCATGAGAATGGCGTCGTCTGAGATCAATTTAGTGATGACAGCGATTGGGTTTGCACTTAGTTCCATGTTCATAGTATATGTCTGCGCCAGGCTTATCTGTGCTAGGATTCTTCATTACTACAATCCCTCTGATCATATCATTGTAAGCTTTTCACACTTTTCTGTTTATATTAGTTCTTCCTGATAGCCTCTTTTGATTTTATGTTAAGCTTTCTCATCCAGAAAAATTAGTGATGTATATAAAATATACATATGTATAAATGGTTCTAAGCATTAAAATATATAGTGAAATTTAGAGTTTTGAGTCCTTTTTTTTTACCGTGAGGAGCTGGGCGCTACAGTAAACTGGAATCAAACTTACTCCATTGAGTATTAACTTCGGAATCTTCTAGGGGTGAGTTGGCGACCAGCCGAACTGGATCACTTAAACCTAACTTGTCATTTCTGACTCCGTCAATCTAATCTCATCCTATTGTTTAACTTCACAGATAAGGCGCGGCTGTAATGGTCTTGATCCTTTAGTCATAAGCAGCTTCCCTGTGAAGAAATACAGTGATGGTTTTTTTGCCTCCATTCAAGATGCTCAGTAAGTTGACTAGTTTTTCCGTCAATCCTGCTTCTCGAATCTAATGCTATTCTTCCGGCTTACTCCTCGTTTCAAGATAAGGAATATCATCCTTTCTAAAATAATGGAATTTCTTCATATTTGGCCCCACAATCTTTATATTTGGGCCCACAGATGCTCACTATTTAGAATTAGTCAATCTTAAAATTAGTGTTTTTTCAAGGTCAATCCAAAATTCCAACTTCTTTTGAAATGAAACTATAATATACTCCGTATTTTACACTTCTTCCGTTCTTTTTTAGTTGCAACGATCAACATTTCACACTTGTCAACGCACATTTTTGACCGTAATTATATCTTAATCTCTATTAGTAAAAAATATTTAAAAATTAGATTTTGAAAATTTGTAATGAGATGAATTGAACAATATAATTTTAAAAAAATAATTTTCATAAAATAATAATATAAAATGTAGTCAAAGTAGAACATGTGAATAATGTAAAATTCAACATGTTGCGATTAAAAAGAGACGGAGGATAGTATTTGAGTTAGTTGGTGTACACCTCTCTATTGACGTAGTACTTTTTATACACTTGTGTGTGAATTGCATGGGTACTTTTTAGACAATTTCCGTCTTTATTATTAGAAAGAATTGCATGGGTAATCTTTATAACTGTGTACAAAAATGTGTATAAATCATGTTTTCCTTGATTTTTTATGCCAATAGTGATAACTTCTAACATTGAATTTGTTTGATGTGTATTTGTAAAAAACATTATTTAGGTTTAAGCTAAAACGACATCAGACTTTCACACATAAAACGACATCATGATGTAAGGATGTTTTTACTTGAATTGTAATATGTCCCAGACCAGACCAAACCAGATCAAACTAGAACAGACCAGATCAGATTTGGATAGTTATAAAAATATAAAGAGACCAGATCAGACCAGACCAGATCAGACCAGCAAATTACAGTCCAAGTAAAAACATCCTAAATCTCGTGTGTTGAAATGTAACATGTGTTGCTATAAAATGTAAAATCAGTTAGCGACAAATGTAACTAGTTCAGTGGAGTGTAACTCGCGTTACTCACTCCAGTGTCAATCACGGGTATATAAAATGTAACTTCAGACAACTTGAAATTGTAAATTGTGTGTATGCAAAATGTAACTTGTTGAAGCGAGTCAAAATGTAAATCGCCCATAAAATGTAACTCGTGCACATTAAGAAGTAAATCACGCATAAGAAAATGCAACTCCATACATTATAAAATGCAACTTCAGACATTGTCTATAAATGTAACTCGTACATATGAAAATGTAAGGGAAAACTATCAAATAGGTCCTCAAACTTTCATAAAAAAGTCAATTAAGTCCTTCTATAGGAGACTTTGTCCGGTCGTCGCGATTTGGGGCAGTTCCTGGTGAAATTTTCTGATGAAATTTTTTGAGCATTTTATTCATCAAGTCTAGTTTATTCATACCAAATTTCAGCTAAAAATTTAATCGAGAACGCACTCAAATTAATTCGAGAATGCAAAAATGCGCAGTTATATTCAAGAATTAATTTGAATGTGTTCCCGATTGAATTTTTAGCTGAAATTTAGTATGAGTAAATTAGACTTGGTGAATAAGATGCTCAAAAAATTTCATCAAAAAATTCCACCGGGAACTGCCCCAAATCGCGACGGCTAGACAAAACCTCCTATAGAAGAACTTAATTGACCTTTTTATGAAAGTTCGAGGACCTATTTGACAGTTTTCCCAAAATGTAATCTCGTGTATTATCAAATATAAATTGTGAATGTGTGTAAAAAATCATATAAAAGATATAAACATATAAAAATATGCTATAGAAAAAAGAGTGTATGAATATGAAAAATATATTATTACAGAAAAAGTGTATGAATATAACAAAATATTATAGAAAAATAGGGTATGAATATGTAAAATATATTTCAGAAAAAGTGCATGAATATAAAAAGAATATTACACAAAAAATAAAGTTATGTTTTTGTCGATCATAAGAAAGAAAACACACGAAGGGAAACTAAGAGGTTGGTAAGCCTGTTTTTCGGCTTATTAGGCTTATCAGCCAATATTTCGCCAAACACGTAACTTTTGGTTTCACGAGCTAATTGTGTAATAATAAAAAAAGTAAGGTTGAAGTTACTTTTCTGGCTGTATAGGCTTATGTGATTGTAGAGGACCATTTTAGCTATTTTACATATAATTTTTTCTTTATTTTATTAATAAAATTTATTTTAAATATTTTTTTTCATAAATAAGCAGAATCAGCCAATGCAGTCACTTCAGGCAGATTTTCATATATTTTAACCGATTCAGCTGATTTTGTTATTACCAAACAGGCTCTAAAATAAAATCTACAAGAACTTAGGTTCAATCTCCAATTAAACATCCTTGAAAATCTAATTAAGTTCTTATCGTAAGTAGGAAACAAATGAAATACAACGAACCTAGAATGCGTTGACAATGAATTCAATATTCAGTAAATGCAAATAAGTTCACTTTATCCACTAATTGCATAGTGTTATTGTTGGCATCCAGATGCACAATTTGCTTAGCGGATTACCAAAGAGAAGACAGCTTACGCATATTGTCACCTTGTGCACATTACTTCCACCCAGAATGTATTGACATATGGCTGCAAAACAACTCCACATGCCCAGTTTGCCGCATTTCCCTGCAATCTCTTCCCCAGAAAAAGCATTTCATGGAACCATTGTTCAGCTCAGCTGCCCGGTCACAACGCCATTTTTGCTCCATTTTCGCCTCTTCAAGAACACACAGAAGCCCAATAATGGACCCTCCAGTGACTGACCATGGAGGTTTGTCATCAGTGTGAGAGTAGGTACTAGCTTAGGTGGGATACATGCATTAGATTAGCCAGAGCTAGGAGCAATGGTTCTAGCTGAACGTACGTATTCATATCTCCCTAAGGTGGGTAAAATGCATAAGTCGTACCTAAACCGTTGGTATTTTGATTGCATTTTGAAATTTTATATATTAGTTTAACTCTTGAATGAAACAAATCAATATCACAATTATAGCGTTTTAACCGGCAATATTATTCGAAATATAATCCCGTGTGACGACTGGAAATCGAGGCGTAAAGTCGACTTTATATTACTTTTATTTATGTCATCAACATTGTTCGGCGGACTACATGTATGGAATTTTGACCATAACAGCTGTGTGAAATACTCCGTATATTTTTTAGCACCTTATGCACGTTTTCCCGGCAACGGCGCCAAATTTGACGTGCACTTTGTCGTGGTGTGCACTCAAAATAAATATTCAATACAACAATTATACGTAGTATAATGAAGTAAGGTTCGTATGATCGTATCCACAGGGAAATGAATACTTTTCTTTTTATAGAACTAGTAACAAAAAGGGGGGTTTTAGTTTGATTTGGTTTAATTAATTAAACACGAAGATGAACAACTTATGTGGTTTACTTAATAGAGATGAAGACTTGATCGAGTGTTCGAGGCAGGCTCCTTTTAGTTTCGTCTTTCTGTAAATACTCGACCGGGTAAGGAATAGTACCCGATCGGGTATGCCTGCATTTTTGAAAATTTTTGCTGCTTCGATCGAGTACTGAACTCGGTTCATATTTTTTAGCGATACCCGACTGAGTGCATGTGCATACTCGATCGGATATGTCCCTAGAGAAACCTGCATTTTCCAATCTTTGTGGTTTTTTTCGTTAGTTCCCTCTCTCTCATTCTCTCTAAACAGAAATGAAATTTGAAAAAAAAATAAAAATCTACGTACCTTGCTTGAGTTGCCTCCCAAGAAGCGCCTTATTTAACGTCGTGGCACGACGTTTTATTTCTATTTTTCTTTTTCAGTTTTATGTGGAATCATGGATATCCCTTCCCTTTTTAACAGCCTTGTTTGGCCGCGTTTCATTTTTCATCTTCGGTCTTTTCCAGTAAGACCGGACTTCTGTTCCCATTATCATCTCAACCATAGGTGGATTTAGTTCACCATTTGATAGCTCCCTTAAAAATGATTCCCCGTGCTTAATTTCTTCTTCTCCTTGAAAAATTGGGATTTTAACAGATTCCTTCAAAAACATTGGTTCTTGTGGTTCAAAAACATTTAAAGAACAAAGAGATTGATCTTTAATTTGTTTTTTCACAGAGTCAAAGATATTGAACTCTACTTTTTGGTCATCGAACTCTAAAGTTAATGAACCACTAGATACGTCGATTTTAGTTTTTGCGGTTTTTAAGAAGGGTCTACCCAACAGGATGGGTGTCGTTTGGTCATCATCCCCCATTTCAAGGACATAGAAGTCAACAAGAAAAACCATATTTTCTACTTCTACTAGCACATCTTCTATTACACCCTTTGGGTAAGTATTAGAACGATCCGCTAGTTGAATCACTACACCTGTTTGATGTAGTGGGCCAAGTTGTAGGGATTTATAAACAGAGTAGGGAATAACATTGATAGATGCCCCTAAATCCAATAAGGCTTTAGAAAATGTGGTGCTTCTTATCTTGCAAGGAATAGTGAACATGCCCGGATCGCTACATTTTTCAGGAAGTTTCTGTTGAAATATAGTCGAGACACGTTCACTCACCTTAACCTCTTGTTTCCTTTTTAATTTATTTTGCCTTTTTGTTTTGCATAATTCTTTTAAAAATTTAGCAAAACGGTGGACATTCTTCATTAAGTTAAGGAGGCGGAATGTTTACCTCACACTTGGCGAAAGTTTCATAGATATCAGCATCTTTTTCCGGTTTCCTTGTCTCCCTCAGCGCCTCAGGGAACGGGGCTACTAGTTCATATGAGGAAAGTGAAGGGAATTTGGCTTTTGGGATCCCCTCCTCTGATTGAGCTTCTTCATGATCAACTTCCTCAACCTTTTGATCATTCATCTTTACCTCCTTCAATGTCGTGCCAATTCTCAACATGATTGCATTCACATGTTGTGTCGAGTTTTGCTCCGTTTGAGATGAGAGTTTACCCGAGTCCTTCGCTTCAAGTCGGCTTATGCCATTTGAAATTTGGCTAACTTGAGTTTCCAAATTTTTTATGCTTGACTTTGTCTCATGTTGGAATTGTATCATGGTTTGCTGAAATTGTCCCATGTTTTGTTGCATGGTAACCATGTTTGAGGTCAGAGCTCGTATCATGTCATTAGTTGACATATTAGATTAAGAGTTTAAGCCTTGATTGTTGAAAGATGGTTGAGAAGTTGGGTTGGATTGTTGAGGGTTTCCATACCTCAAGTTTGGATGATCCCTCAATCCAGGGTTGTAAGAGTTTGAGAATGGGTCGTACCTCCTTTGTTGATGTCCTTGGAACCCCAAGGCGTTGACTTTCTCTATAATGTCTTCTTGAAGAGTTGGGCATGAGTCAGTGGGATGCCCTTGTTATGTACAAATGCCGCACACCTTGACTCCGTGGGTCTTGGACTTTAAGAGGAAATCCTTAACCAAAGAAGTCAAGCCGGCAACTTGACTCTCCAATGATGATGTCAATTCCGCAGCGGCAACTCTTTGAGTCGAGGATCGCCCGTTGTAGTGTCTAGAGTTCTCGGCCAACTCCGAGATGAGATCTCTTGCTTGAGAAGGGGTTTTGTTGACAATGCCCCCTCCACACGCTGCATTCACCATGTGGCGATCTTGATCCACAAGACCATCATAGAAGTAGAGAATGAGGTCTTGTTCGGTGTATCCGTGATAGGGGCAGCTACCACATAGCTTATTGAATTCATACAAGGATTCATCATCCTTTTGTTCAATGTTGCTTATTTGCTTCTTGAGAGATGATGAAATGGAAGCGGGATAGTACCTTTCAAGGAAGCACTTCTTCATTTGTGCCCATGTGTTGATGCTCCCCGAAGGAAGATAGAAAACTCAATCCTTCGTGGTGTCCTTCAAAGAGAATGGGAAGGCCCACAGCTTGATTTGTTCTTCGGTGAGCCATTTGGGCACATGCTTGTGCAAACGATGTGGAACTCCGAAAGATGTTTATTCGGGTCTTCTCCTCTCAGGCCATGAAAAGATGGCAATAGATGAATGAGCCCAGATTTTAGCTCAAATGTATTACCCTCATTGAGTGTAGGGAAGGTAATACATAACGGTTGTTGATTGAGGTTTGGAGCGGTGAGCTCTCTTAAGGTCCTTGTCTCGTGAGCCATGTGGAATGACTCTTCGGATTCGCTAGAACTAGAGCTAGCATTTGAGGATTCCTCCGAGGGTGTGTGCGGAAAAAAAATTCTCAACATCTCGAAGGCTTGTTCTATTTTGGGGTTTGTTTGGTAAGTAAGTTCGTTTATAGAACGTGTTTTTATCATATACTCATTGTTGGGTTAAGGGCCCAAGCCGAGGTCCGGCCCACTAACCCATTTTGCCAAACGAACGCCCAGTTAGAACACTAGGCCAGCCCACAGGCCCATGTTCCTCGAGGATGGACGAACGTCTAGTGTTGGAGGACTCAGGCCCAGCAGCTCATCCCGACGAACCTCTATGCAGGGACAAGGAGCAGAACCACGGGCCACCGGGGATGGCGACGAACGTCCCCAGAGCAAGCCTGTAGTCATCGGAGAAAACCCAGTGCACATGGTGAGTATCTATCAAGGCCAGGAGACGAGCAGCCGATATCTCTCAAGGGTCACTTGGAGCAATCCAACTCACTTCCCGGGTGGACGAACGTCCCCACTGATCCGGCGGGAAACCTAGATTCTGGCGGGAAGTGCATTTAATGCTAAAGATTTGGTAGTTGGGACACCAGCGGTCCACAGGCTGCCACGTCACTACAGCCACCTGCCCATTGGCGGGTATAAATAGGAGCATTTATTCCATTGAAAAGGGTTGGCAACCTTCTATTCTTAGGATACTAGCTTCAGCATTCTTACTCGCAGCCTTTCTAACTGCCTTGTAAGACGAACGGCCGACGTGCCTTTTTTAGCAAGTAGATTGTACTTAGGGGGGTTATTACGAAGTTAATAATACCTATTTACATTGCCTGCTATTACTTTTGTTTCCTGATCCATCTGAAAGTTGTTGGGCTAGACATTCATACACTCACTCCACTCGAAATCTTTGGGCTTACGTGTTGGGTCCAAGGGTTGAAGGAATAAACCTCAACACTGGCGCCGTCTGTGGGAACTGAACAAAAAGTTTCCAGAAACTCTCCCAAACAGCTACTAGGTCTACCTACAGCGAACACGATGTCAGGAAGCAACACCCAACGTGATCTCTCCGAGCGTCTGGAGTCGAGCCGCCGGAATCGCGGCCAGAACTCGGAACTATCCGCAACAATATGGACTTCAGGGGGAAACGGGGGTATCACTGACCTTATTCCCCTGGAGGCCAGGCAGGATCCCCGCCTCATGCGTGAACTTGCAGACACCATGCGACGCATGGCGGACGAGCGGGAGGCCCGAGATCAGGTGTACTCTGCAAGCACCCAGCGAACGCCCCTCTCTCCCATACGCCGCATGCAGTCGTACGATGATACGACAGGCTCCAGCGACCACCGGCCCTCCGTCCACGAGCGGCTAGGTGGGGGTTCAGGCTCCCGTGAAATGGGAGGGCGGACCAGGGTTAGCATCGCTGCATCCAGGGCTCTCACACCATCAGTTCCTCGCCTGATTCCGCGGGGAGACGAGACCCCAAGGATCAACACCGTTGGACGACGTTTCCAACGGCGAGGTGCGCAGATCTTCAGGCGGCCGCACGATGTTGTGGCCGCTCAGCAGAATGCCACCCCCGAAGCCGCGCCCCCTGTGTCCCCCGGAAGGGCCGCACAGGACGTACGGCTGGAAGCCATGGAGAGGCAGATAGCCGAGATGAACAGGCGGGCGGACGCCGGCTCGGCCACACCCTCCTTCTCTCTCACATCACCGTTTACTCCACGGGTGATGAGCGTCGAGATCCCCCGGGATTGCAGGCCCCCGGGGAACTTGGTGTATAATGGGGCTGGTGATCCTAAGGCCCATCTGATAAGCTACCAAGGGAACCTGTCCATGCTGGGAGCATCGGACGAGGCCATCTGCAGATTGTTCTTCAGCACCCTCAGGGGGCCAGCTCAGGAATGGTTCGGCCAGTTGAGGCCAGGCACCATTGACTCATACGAACAGCTTTCCCGGCAGTTCATGGCACAGTTTGCTGCCAGCACCACCCCCAGGA